TTATTCCTTAAAAAACTGAATTTTGATGATAATTTATTTGGATTAATGTTAGTATTATTACATTGGGACATATCTAAATTATACTGTACAACAGTAATATATATCTGTCAAGTTAAACCGAACTTTTATTTTGACGGGTTGCCGTGAAGACCTTTTGAGTCTGTTCGTTTATGTCATGATGATAGTTTTTCTCAAATTAAGCGGTGAAATGATCACGAAGTGACTTTCGGAGTGGATCTAGAGCCTGGAGAGGAAATTCATGCATTTGTGTCTTCATATAGGCAAAAATACAGCGCAAGCGTCACACGTTCTTCCGTGTGTGTGTGTGTGTGTGTGTGTGTGTGGTAAATGAAACTGCGCGTCGGCTGCACCATTCATTCACACAGAACACGCAGGATTCGTATTTAAATGGTCTTTGTGGTTTAATATCCACACACACTAGTCTACATCGCGATTTGATTTCAAGTGTACTGAACTGCTTTCTATTTATTCCTCAAAAAAAATTACAAATTCTGTGAAATTCCGCGTTATACAGTAAATTCCGTTTTTATGACTGGATTTCGTCAGCATTTTAGGGGGGGCGGGGTGTCGTTTTGGGGGGGCGGGCCGCCCCCCCAAAACAATGGTAGGGGAAACACTGCTATAGTATAGCTGTACTCTGATTTTAACATTTATAATTGTACACTGTCTAAAAGGGCTGATGTTCACATTTCTGGATTTAGATTTTTAGTCAGACCATGCCATGTTTCTTTGGCCAACCTTTCTAATTCCATACTTAATGAATTTTTGTTTATTTTTAGGTATTTACTGTCCAAGGATTTTCACTGGTTGATTATCCAGATAGTGATGAAACTGATGAGGATGGTATGGAAAACGAACCTTCCACCCCACACCTGGATGTTATTATAGGGCAGAATGATATCGGCCCAGATGTTTCAGATCATTTGTACGATTCAGATGAAACTGTTGTGAAAGAAACTTGTGATGAGGCTTCTCCAAGCAACCATTCTAACAATCAATCGGATGATGAACTTGTTCCACCACTGAGACGCACAAAAAGCATTCTGGTAAGCCCCAAAACACATTTTAACAATATAATTAACTTGTTTATGTGATAAATTTTGTGCCACTAGTAAGCGAATTTGAATTATTTTATATTTGAATGGGAATCATTCACTTTGAACCTGAATCGATTGTTTTGAACAATTGCTTTTAAAATTTGGATTTAAATGGACTCATTTGAAATTGAATCTATTGGATTGGCATAAACACCTGCAGGAGTGATGTCCAGTGATCAGCGCTCAGGTGTGTGCTTAAAAAAAAAAAAAAGATACAACGTGCCCAGTGGTGTAGGCTACTGGTCAGCCAGCATACCGGGACAAACCCCGGTAGGCCAACGCTATCACTCCCGGACGCCGCGGCCGGTCTCTGTTGCCAAAATCCGGTCGAGTTCTCCTCCTCGCCTGGTGCATTAATTATCAATTAAATAGAGATCACCAACAATCAATCAGTAATCATTTATTAGAGAAGCTCAACTCTTCTTTTCTGACTGATTGCTGATTTTTAAGTGATAGGGAGACAATTGTGAGGTGAGGAAGACACTTCGGAAAATTGACTAATCTCTCCCTCTCTCTTGAGTAGTTCCATGTCTACAGGAATGACACTATATCATTATGATGAATAATTTGCTGTGAAGTCATTAAATTTAACAATCAAATGCATGAAAACTGAAACGTTACTCGTTTTTAATAATTTTGTCAACGTTTACTCCACCTGGAAGGCAGTTTGGACATGGGCCTCAGCAGGTGGATGGAGGGGTAATATTGGTCAATAATTTTCATAGGTGTCTAGCTCACCTGACAACCTCTGAATGGTCTCCCTATCAATTAAAAATACAGCAATCATACAGCAAAATATCTCCATGTCTCCCTTTTTGCAGATGGATAGAGTACAAGATTTTACCCACAGTCTCTATGATTCAAGTAGTGACAGCGCAGAGGAGGCTCCTTTTTTAAGCCTGAAAGGGATTCACAGAAGCTGAGAAGAAGGTCTTGGGGGGGGGGGGGGGGGGTTCTTTTGTGTTTTCACGATTGTGAAAATGTCTGTTGCTCTTGCTAATGAGTCTGATGGGGATTCTTCTAATTTGTAAATTTACTTGTACTGAAAATGGTCCATACAGATTTTTCTTCATTTAGTATCCTGAGCCTGTTCAATCAGTATACTCAGGTTTTTTATATTTAATGTTGCAAAAATAGTTATCAACAGATATGTTTGTTTTTAAAGATTCAGATGAATCTCATGGAATCGGATGACTCAAACTTAGGTAGCGAAGAGGAGTATATTCCAAATCCCATGGATGAAAACACAGAAAGTGATAGCAGTATGGAATTAACCCTGGAAAAGGAAAAAAAGAACAAAGGTGCATCATCCAGTCAGAGCAAGTTTAAGCCCAGAGAGAGAAGTAGAAGATCCTCCCGAGAGAGTGGAAGCGAGTCCTCCAGACAGAGCAAGTCTAAGCCCAGGGAAAGTGGAAGTAGATCCTCCAGAGAGAGTGGAAGCGAGTCCTCCAGACAGAGCAAGTCTAAGCCCAGGGAGAGTGGAAGTAGATCCTCCAGAGAGAGTGGAAGCGAGTCCTCCAGACAGAGCAAGTCTAAGCCCAGGGAGAGTGGAAGTGAATCCTCCAGAGAGAATGGAAGCGAGTCCTCCAGACAGAGCAAGTCTAAGCCCTGGGAGAGTGGAAGTAGATCCTCCAGAGAGAGTGGAAGCGAGTCCTCCAGACAGAGCAAGTCTAAGCCCAGGGAGAGTGGAAGTAGATCCTCCAGAGAGAGTGGAAGCGAGTCCTCCAGACAGAGCAAGTCTAAGCCCAGGGAGAGTGGAAGTAGATCCTCCAGAGAGAGTGGAAGCGTGTCCTCCAGACAGAGCAAGTCTAAGCCCAGGGAAAGTGGAAGTAGATCCTCCAGAGAGAGTGGAAGCGAGTCCTCCAGACAGAGCAAGTCTAAGCCCAGGGAGAGTGGAAGTAGATCCTCCAGAGAGAGTGGAAGCGAGTCCTCCAGACAGAGCAAGTCTAAGCCCAGGGAGAGTGGAAGTGAATCCTCCAGAGAGAATGGAAGCGAGTCCTCCAGACAGAGCAAGTCTAAGCCCTGGGAGAGTGGAAGTAGATCCTCCAGAGAGAGTGGAAGCGAGTCCTCCAGACAGAGCAAGTCTAAGCCCAGGGAGAGTGGAAGTAGATCCTCCAGAGAGAGTGGAAGCGAGTCCTCCAGACAGAGCAAGTCTAAGCCCAGGGAGAGTGGAAGTAGATCCTCCAGAGAGAGTGGAAGCGTGTCCTCCAGACAGAGCAAGTCTAAGCCCAGGGAAAGTGGAAGTAGATCCTCCAGAGAGAGTGGAAGCGAGTCCTCCAGACAGAGCAAGTCTAAGCCCAGGGAGAGTGGAAGTAGATCCTCCAGAGAGAGTGGAAGCGAGTCCTCCAGACAGAGCAAGTCTAAGCCCAGGGAGAGTGGAAGTGAATCCTCCAGAGAGAATGGAAGCGAGTCCTCCAGACAGAGCAAGTCTAAGCCCTGGGAGAGTGGAAGTAGATCCTCCAGAGAGAGTGGAAGCGAGTCCTCCAGACAGAGCAAGTCTAAGCCCAGGGAGAGTGGAAGTAGATCCTCCAGAGAGAGTGGAAGCGAGTCCTCCAGACAGAGCAAGTCTAAGCCCAGGGAGAGTGGAAGTAGATCCTCCAGAGAGAGTGGAAGTGTGTCCTCCAGACAGAGCAAGTCTAAGCCCTGGGAGAGTGGAAGTAGATCCTCCAGAGAGAGTGGAAGTGTGTCCTCCAGACAGAGCAAGTCTAAGCCCAGGGAGAGTGGAAGTAGATCCTCCAGAGAGAGTGGAAGCGTGTCCTCCAGACAGAGCAAGTCTAAGCCCAGGGAGAGTGGAAGTAGATCCTCCAGAGAGAGTGGAAGCGAGTCCTCCAGACAGAGCAAGTCTAAGCCCAGGGAAAGTGGAAGTGAATCCTCTAGTCATGGCCAATTTGACTTTAGCCAGAGAAGACTTTTGGAAAGATGTCATGATCCCACACAAAGATTTCCAAATAGCAGAGTTGATGGGAATGAAAAGGAAATCGCAACATATTCTGAAAACAATGTTTCAGTGCCCCTGGAAGAAGAGCAGCATATCATTGTCAGTTCAACTTTAAAGAAAGATGATGGATCCAGAAGCTGGATCCAGAAGCTATAACAAGAAACATTTCTGCTTTTATTGCAGGAAGTTTGTCCAGAAAATGTCAAGACACTTGTGGCGTAAACACCAAGATGAATTGGATGTTGCGAAAGCATTCAGTTTAACTCAAAGGAAAGAAAACTACAATTGGACTACATACGAAATAAGGGAAACTTCGAGCACAACAGTCATGTTTTGGAAACACAAAAAGGAAAACTAATCCCATGTAAACAACCGGTAAAAAAATCAGAGGCACATAAATTTGCACATTGCATTCACTGCTATGGGTTGTTCTCAAGAAGAGCGATGTGGCGGCATTTCAAGGTCTGCAGCTTCAAACCCAAAAGTACTAAACCAGGTAAAAATAGAGTTCAGGCATTGTGTGCTTTCACTGAACCTTCTCCATCGGAATATACAGACGCGTATTGGAAGTTCTTGAGTGTAATGATTCAGGACAAGATTGCAGTTGCAATTAAAGGAGACAACTGCATCCTCAATTATGGGTTCAGGTTGTTCAAAAAGAATGAGAAGATAGTTAGTCAACACCAGTATATACGCCAAAAACTGAGAGAACTTGGCAGGCTTTTATTGGAAGCTAAAAAAATCACACGTATGAAGACCATTCAAGAACTCATCAAACCTGAACTTAACTCCCAGGTTGTCAGAGCTGCAAAGAACCTATCCGGATTCAGTGAGGAAACTGGCATAAACCAATGTCCCTCTCTTGCACGCAAGGTAGGACACAGCCTGCATTCGTTGGCTATGTTTATCAAGTCCGAAGGACTGAAAAAGAAAGATAAAGCACAGTTGTATTTAGAGAGTTGGAGGTTTGATATTGCAGCCCAGGCATTAACCCAGCTTAACCGGGCCAAATGGAATGCACCGCAACTTTTACCTCTTACACAAGACATCCAAAGGCTACATTGCTATCTAGAAGAAAAACAGCAGCAACATCTCAAAGATATAAAAGAATATCGTTCATCCACAAATTGGAAGGAACTTGCAAAAGTAACGCTGACTCAAGTTATGCTTTTTAATCGGCGGAGAGCAGGTGAAGTGTCCCGAATGCGCCTGTCTGCATACTTATCGAAGGACACATCAGAGGAACAGGGAGATGTAAATTTGGCCCTCACAGCGCTTGAGCAGAAGCTCTGCAGGCATTTTGTGCGAATAGCAATTGTTGGAAAAAGAGGAAGGAAGGTTCCTGTTCTTCTAACCCCAGTAATGAGAGAATCACTTGATGCTCTTACTGAGAGCAGAGAAGAATGTGGGGTGCTGAAGGACAATGAATATCTGTTTGCATTGCCACAATCTGCCCATTACCTCAGGGCTTGTGACTGCATGAGGCAATTTGTCAGTGAATGTGCTGACATAAAAAATCCTCAAGCGCTAACATCAATTCAACTGAGGAAACATATTGCTACCCTGTCTACCGTTCTGAACCTCAAAACCACCGAGCTCGACCAGTTGGCAGACTTCCTTGGTCATAACATTGCTGTTCACAGGAAACACTACAAGCTCCCAGAAAGCACCCTCCAATTAGCCAAAGTAAGGCCTTGTCCACACGGACACGGGTATTTTTATAACCGGAGTTTTTCCTACAGCGTTTAAAAAAAAAATCCCGTCTACATGAAAACGCAAAAACACGTATCAAGCGCGGTCAAGAGCATGCCACGCCAGCAGGCGGCGATATAAACCTTAACCGTAAAGCCACGTTGGCCAATCAGAAGCGCAAATCTGACGTCAAACACAGCAGATAACGGCGCACGCTCTGACGTCGCAAGGCAAAACCCCGGTTTCACTGTCTACACGACAACACTGTAACCGGCGTTTCTGAAAATCCTCACCCTGGCAGGGGTTTTCAAAAATGTTCGGTTTCAGTGCGCTTTCGTGTGGACGAACGGCCGAACCGCGTAAAAAAAGTCACGGTTATAAAAATACCCGTGTCCGTGTGGACAGGGCCTAAGTAAAGTCCTCCTGGCAATGGAACAAGGACGCCTAGGAGATTACACAGGAAAGAGCCTCGATGAAATACAAGTCGATGTAAATGGTAATTAACTTTATATTCTTGAAGGCACAATATATGACATTTAGTCTTCCGCATTCAGAAAACAACTATTTACCATGTAAAACATAGGGCAGTAATGGTGACGGGATGAGAGATAATACTACTGTTGTATACTCTTGCAGATTGCCCAGATTCAGCTTTCCAAACTCAATTTTTTATCAATTATCATTTTAGAGACCATTGACATGGAGGGACCTTTAGCAGAGGACATTGAAGGTATGTGTATACGATGTTCCTAAATTGATTCTAAATGATCCGCTTTAGATATTTTGTGTATTGTATTTTTAAGTTATTTCCCTCTCCAGATGTCAGTATGCTAAGAGATGATGGGTCAGACGATGAGGTCAGCATGTCATCCACGCAAGAATGTACCTCCACATCACAAAGTCAAAACCAGGGAGTGTCTGCAACCGGTGAGCTTGAACGCAATTCTTACCTTTCGTGCATTTCACACAGCACGTGGCAAAAATTTGAACATCAACAACTCCACCTCCCTTCTTTGTCCCACCCACCTCTTTCTCCTGCAACTCTGTCAGGAGACCTGTCCGATGCAGAGGCTGCACAATCAGTCAAACACAACCCCAGTTTTAAAACTGAACACTGCGTCAGTACTGCCTGAAATTACAAGTAGCATTAACTTTGAGGTTAACGTGAACCCACCTATTGCTTATAGGTTGCTCTCTCGGCACGGACTTCATACAGGGATAGCACAGCTACTCCAACACGTCCCTGTCACTACAGAACATCTGGAATGTGCGCGATAAGGTGATGCAGGACAATTCCCTGAGCACATTATCCAAGTCTGCTTCATGGCAGCAAACAAACTCCACGGTTGATCGCTGTGACCGCACTTGCACTGCAAAGGGTTGCCGACCCTCTCCTCACTGTCATCTCTGTCCGGAGCCGCTGCAGCTCACTCAACTTCCCCAAAAACGGGTCTCTCAACCCTCCTCCTCATCACTGGCTCAAACGCATATGCCATCGGGTTAGATGACATCAAATAAACTCGTACAGCCTTGTCGTCTTGACATGTTTCCTCCTCATCTGTGTACTCATACTCGACTCGCTGTAACTGTGTACTCGTCTCTCTGTAACTGTGTACTCGTACTCGCCGCGCAGGGAGGAAGTGTTTGCTTGCCCCACCCAATGGTCAGCGCGGCGCGAACTAATCTCACCAGCGCCGCGCTGACCAATAAAACAGCCCATACCGAAATGTTCTAAATTGCACTAAAGAAAATCGACCATTCCATAATATGTCAGGACTACTTAATAGGCCTATAGTTTCTACAATGCGCCTAGCTATTTGACCTCACTGATTTCCGTTAATAATAGGAGAGGTTTATGGGTCAAATGTAAACAAATGGTGCCAAACGGCCAAATGCCCTGTTTTATTGGTCGGCGCGGTGCTGGTGAGATTAGTCATTTTAATTTATTTGTTTCCCTCTGAAAATCCACTTTCATTGAAATCTAGTGGCTTATTTTTTTTTAAAAATGATTCTGCCTATTTTTTCCCCAAATGAATGCAGCTGGAATTAATGCAATAAATATGTTTTTTGACAAAGATTTCAAATTGTTTGTGGTCTATAACCTGTATCAGAATGAGGTTCGCAATGGTGCGCCCGAAGGCATGGGTTGAAGACCCAGTCAGTGACGTCACGATATGCAAATTTGTTTAAATTCATACCGACGTAATCACCATGACCAAAATTGTCCCTTTTTTTTCCATTGAATCTTGGAAAAAAAAATATAGACCCTTTTTTTTTTTCTGTTACTGCAAACCAAAATATTTTTAAGGATGGCCTTATGTATTCTGCGTTATGTACAGAAAAAGCCGGTGAAAGCGCGCCTCTATTTTGCGTTGAATATTTTCCGCCTCTTAAAAACAGGTGTAAATTAGGAAGCAGGTTTCCTGGCATATGCCTCCTGGTGAAATGGCAGCAGTGATCCGAGCAAGACGAAGACATAGGCTAAGGAGACGAGCTGAAAAGATTTTTGCCACAAGAATCGCACTGTTTCTGTTGATTGAAAACTAAATCATTAAGCGTTACAGATTAAGCAGCTACGCAATATTACAGTTACTGGAAGAAATCAAAGATGACATTGAATCTCCGACTCAGCGTTCACATTCCATTCCAGCAGTTGTTAAACTCCTCGCTACATTACAATGATTGGTATCAGGATAATTTCAAACAGTCATAGCATCAGCAGTGAGAGGAGGAGGCCCATTCAATTGCGTGTTTAAATACGCGCAATTTACGGTATAGTGGGTGGGGACAGGCGCTGATTACCTGATGAACTGCAGGTTTGGTACATAACACGCACACTGCGGTTTCACATCAAGCGCTTTCTGCATCTTGGCCATGGCGCTATTAACGCTGCGTTCGCAAATATGTGTACATCTGGCCCTCAGAGTTGCTCTCAGATCCATAGAAGACTCTTACGTAGAAGCTTTAAAAATACGAAACATTTGCAGTACACATTGCATATGGTAGGCATACAGTGTGTATGTGGTTCCTGGTGCAGAATGTAGTAAACTGTTGTCCATGTAAAATTACATATAAAAATACATTTTAAGTTCTTTAAATCTAGTAAATAAGCAAATATACATTTACAAACGTAACTATTGTAAATGTCTAGGTCAAATAATACATTTACAAACGTAACTATTGTAAATGTCTAGGTCAAATAATACATTTATATAATTATTTAAGAAATAATGCAGTCCAAGGACTGTATGGTCATAATAAACAAAGGTATATTATTTCAGTCAAATGCTTTACCAAAGTATTGACGTAAAACGACCTCTAAGTGGCGTACTGGCGCTATCACACGTCAAATGGATATGTGACGCAAGCGGTTTTTATTGGTTAAATTGGCGCGGTCCTGCTGCAAGTTAAAGATGTCTTTGGCATTGGGAACACCAACCTATACATTCAGAAGGGGCAGTTTGTCTGCAGTACTTCGGGAGGATGACATTGCAGTGAACAACTTGCTGAGAATTTTTAAGGTTTGTTCTCGTTAAACTGTTTTAATCTTTGATATTAAAAGCCCCCTCCCCCACCCCCGGGCCCCCAAATTTACTTTGTCCAGTCCTCATAGAAAAGTAATAATGTTAAAATATTTTAAGTGTAAAATAAATAGAGAAATATAAATAACTATTTTTTATGTACAGGTTTAAAATGTTTCATTGGCTAAATGCTGAGAATAATATATATGAGTTAAAAAAAAATCAAAATCCAGTAATCATGTAGGACTGGAAAACTAACAAACTCTTTTGTTGGTTAAAAGTATGAATTAAATTCATTATGCTTATTGTGTTGTATTCTGATATTGTTCTGTTCCCTTGATTTCTCTGTAGGTATCTCAGTCAAGTGTTTACTTGATCAATGATCAAGGAGTTTCAATTTTCCCAGCTTTATCTGGATTCTTTAGTTGTATGGATCTCATGAATGGTGGGGGTACCTTCCAGGTGATGGGTGATGAAATGTGCGGGGCATTACCAAGCCCAGTCACAACCCCATTTCACCCAAACCCTGGACAGAGTAGACCTCGTTTTAGTTTTTCAAGATCAGCCACGGTTATAGCTGCTCGCACACCCCATCCTGCAACTAGTCCAAAAATGTACCAAAGGTAAGTTGCTACCTATTTGGTAGATGACGGTTGGTCAGCATTGTTAAATATAAGAAAAACAGACTGGATTTATTTTTTTATTTTTTCATTCAACGTTTTCACAAAAATCCAATCTCTATTTAAAATAAGACAATTAATGAAACCACATGTGACAGTTACTGACATTCTTCATTTAATACTTTGTGCAACCTATGTTTGACAAGATAACAGCTCTGAGTCGTCTATAACCTGTAATAGTACAGTAGATATGTATTAGTACAAAACAACAGGAGAAGCTAGAAAACCAGAAACTAAAATAATTAACCTAAGATGGTGAAAACCAACAGAATCTGACAAAGGATGCAAAGAACATTAGATCTTAATTAAAATTTTCAAGATAAAATACACATTAATGAAATGTATCAAGAAGGTGTTGAGAAAAAGGAACCCAACTTGGTGATAGATAACAAAACTGATAGATATGACACACAAATACATCATTTTGCTCATACATACCTGTTGCTGTTCCTGTAGCTTAATTGGTAGGGCATTAGTAGCAAAGTTTATGGATGTGATACCAAGGGAACACACATACTGATAAAACGTGAAGCCGGAAAGCAATGGCTTTGGCTCAAAGCGTCTGCCAATTGTAAAAATGTAATCAAAAATATTCCAATAGTGCATTGTATGTGTATGTAGAGAAAAAACACATTACAAGAATGTATGAGTCTGGTTTCTAGGTTGCAGAAATGAACAGTTAGCTGAAATCATTCATTTCTGTTGCAATTTTCAAAGTAATGTAAATGTCTGTGTTTAGAGTATGTAAAAAAAAAAAAAAAACATTGTTAGACACAATGTGCTTGTGTGTGTGTTTCCACAGAACTATTTCCCTTGGTCAACTTGAGGGTAGGGATGGCTGACACGAAACAGTCGTTCCGAAGCTTTGCGAGATCCCGAAGCGTGATTCAAAACACCCATGTCACGTGACTATGGCCAAACGAAGCCTCGAAATGTTTCACTAAGTGTTTCATCAGGTGTGATCTGCCGAATCAGCGTTTGATTGACACGGTCGGGAACAACAGACCACACAATCGCACATCTGTATAAAAGTGAAATCAACGCATATTGACCTCGTGGGTTTTTGTGAGAGGAGTTTGATTTTGAGATAGCGGATTTTGGTGATATAGTGACATAGTGCGATTTGATTAGTTATAGGCTATTTAGGCTTAGCCTACATTTAAATTTACACAACACATTGACTGATAGGCTAGAGACAGACAGAGTATAGCCTACATATAGTGACACATCAATAGATGCATAGATATAAATATAGACATATATATAGATTAATAGATAGATTTGCCCAGAACTCATGATCCACTAACTTACTGGAAAGAGAGAGCAGTAATCTTTCCTCATTTGTAATGTCCTAGCTAAAAAATATCTTTGCATGCCAGCAGCAACAAATGTCCCTTGTGAGGGGATTTTTTCAAAGCCTGGAGAAATTATCTGTAAAAAAAGAAGTAGGCTAAGTCTTTCCACAGCAGAGAAATTCATATTTTTTAATAAAAATCTCTAAAAAAGTGAGACATTGTGGCTTGATTTCTTTTATTAATATTCATTTTGCAGGACCAAAATAACATTATGCACAGTGAGGAGCCTATAGGTTACAAGCTTCACATATTAGAAAAATACAATAATAAAAAAACGACACATTTTTTAATGGCTCGTCAAGGTTGTTTCAGATCAACACCTCCAAGTGACCACTAGGTGTCACAGTGGAGACGGGTGTCGGATTGATTCGAAGCCTCGAAACAATATGGCCCATTTGGTTCAACTGTTTCATTGCTTCACGAAGCCTCGATCTGCCCATCACTACTTGAGGGTGACAAAATAGTACAAGACAAGGCATTGGTTATCCCTTTTGAAGAGTCTGAGACCTGTTTGTCTACTATGGCACCAAAGTAAGGCCCTGTTTACACGAGAACGCTCGCGGGTGACAACGTAAAAATATTTTATCGGATGTGCCTTTCGTTTACACGGCGACGGCGTTTTTGAGGCTTAAAAACGCAAAAAAGTGAAACCACCCTCCAGAGTGGAAATCTTAAAAACGCTCCACCGCCGGGTTCCCGTGTAACCGGTAAAAACGCAAATGTCTGCTTGACAGTGAAGGTTGTACGCAGGCGCGTGGACTTGGTGTTGTTATAGTATGCACTCCTAGCCACCTGGAGTGCA